TCAATGATTTTTCTTGCTTCACCAGCAATGTTAAATAAAACTGAAAAAACAAAAACTAGATGTCTTAGAGTGAAGAATGATGTCTCTCTCTTGATCTGTGATAAGGTGTCCGCAGTTGTACACACTATTGCTTTTGTATCATAATTATAAAAATTACTATGGAGAGAACAGCAAATAACGTTTTAGTATTTTTATGAAAGTGGTTGTGACCTCAAAGACTTCCTAAAAAGATCTTGGCCCCTCCTAGAGGCCCATGATGCATGCTTTGAAAACTGCTTTAGTAGAAGATTCCACTGTATGAATAGATCACAAAGCAATCTTCTCCTGATGGGTATTTGGGGGGTTTCTGGTTTTCTGCGACTACAAAAAGTACAAAGAACATTCTTATACATATGCAGGTTTGGTGAATATGTATGTACATTTCTGTAGGGCATCTACCTGTGAATGGAGTTGTTCGGTCATCATAGATTATGTGTATGTTCACTTTAGGAGTGCCTAATGGTTCTATACAGCAGAGAATGAGAATTCCCATTGCTCCACATCCTCAATGACACTTGGAATTGTCTTTCATTTTAGCCATTCTGGAAGGTAAGTAGCAGTGTCTCTGATACTGATGTCTTTCCCTGATGACTAAATAATTTGAGCATCTTTTCAGAAGCATCCATTTGGGCATCCTTTCTTTGTGAAGTGTTGAGTTTTCTGCCCATTCTTCTTCTTCTTTTAATTTGTAAGAGCCACTCTGTGGCTTTTAATTTCTTTATTCTCTCTGTTTTTAGTGAATAGAGGTTACAACTTTTTAATGGATTCTTTATATTTAAGTTAACCTGTAGGGAAATTTACCCTTTTTGGTGTATAGCACTATGAGTTTTGTCAAAGGCATAGAATTGTGTAACCTCCACTACAATCAAGATATAAAACAGCTCCATTGCCCCCAAAATTTCACTCATGCTGCCCTTCATACCCAATTCCTTACTGTAACTCCAACCGCTGTCAACTACCAATCTGTCCTCCATCTTTATAGTTCTGTCATTTGACTCTAGTTTCTGTCACTTAGTGTAATACATTTGAGATTCATTCACGGGGCGTGCATCAAAAGTATGTCCTTTTTGTTACTGAGTAGTATTCAGTTATGTGGACATACCACGGTTATTCATCCATGAACCAGCTGAAGAACATTCGGACTGCTTCTGTCCCCTTGTTTTCCGATCAGCCTGCTGGGGGCTTGTCGTTTTTAGCTCTTTTTGAAGAACTGTCCTAGGCTTTGCTGCTCCTCTCTATAGTGTACTTTATATTTCATCATTTTTTGTCTTAATTAAAAAATTTCCTTTACTTTGTCTAGGTTTAATTTGCCATCTTCTGTACAGCTTCCTGAGAATAATGTTTAGTTTATTGTTTTTTCAGTCTTTTGCCTTTTCTTATATTTGCATTTATGGCTATACGTTTCCCAGTGAGTCTGGCTTTAGTCTATCACAAAGATTCTGATATATTGTATTTTCATTATCATTTGGCTCAAAACATTTTCTGAATTTCACTATTATGTCTTCTTTAATCCATGTCTTTAGAACACTGGTTCTCAAAGTGTGGTCTCCTAACAAACAGCATTAGCATTACTTGGCAAATTGTTGAAAATTCTCATTGACTCACCTCAGATCTAAATAGACATTTTTCCAAAGAAGACAATACAGATGGCCAACAGGCACATGAAAAGATGCTCCACATCACTAATCATCAGGGAAATGCAAATTAAAACCATAATGAGATATCACCTCACACCAGTGAGAATGGCCACCATCCAAAAGATAAGAAATAACAAGTGTTGGCAAGGACGTGGAGAAAAGGAAACCCTCCTACACTGTTGGTGGGAATGTAAATTGGGGCAGCCACTATGAAAGGCAGAATGGAGGTTCCTCAAAAAACTAAAAATAGAAATACCAGATGATCCAGTAACTCCACTTTTAGGAACCTACCTGAGAAAACAAAATCTCTGATTTGAAAGACATGTGCACCCTGTGTTTACTGCCACATTATTTACAGTAAGTAAGATATAAAAGCAACCAAAGTGTCCATCAATAGATGAATGAATAAAGAAGATGTGGTACATATGCACAATGAAATATTATTCAGCCATAAAAAAGAAAGAAGTCCTGCCCTTTGTGACAATGTGGATGGACCTAGTGGGTATTATGCTCAGTGAAATGAACCAGGCAGAGAAAGACAAATACCATATGATTTCACTTATTTGTGGAATCTAAAAACAAAACAAAATGACAAAATAACAGTAGACTTATAGACACTGAGAAATGACTGGTGGTTACCATGGGGGAGGGATTGGGGTGGGTGCGTGAAAAGGTGAAGGGGATAGAGAGGCATAAAATCTCAATCATAATATAAATTAGCCACAGGGATGAAAGTACAGCATAGAAGATAGAGCCAACTCTGTAACATCTATGTTGACAGTAACTATACTAGTTGGGGTGAGGATTTAATAATGTATATAACTGTTGAATCAATTATGTTGTATATATGAAACCAATACAAAATTTATGTCGACTATACTTCAGATAAAAAAAGCACATGGCAGTTTTATAATGATTTTATTGATTTTCATCTTAACTGACTTGTGGTCTGAGAACATACTATATGTGGTTTAAATCTTTGAAATTTGCAGAGACTTGCTTTATAGCTTAGTGTATAGTCATTTTGTATAAAAGACCTGAACATCTCTGAAAAGAATGGATAATCCATAATCAGTGGGGATAATCTTCTCTATATGTCAGTTAGGTTGTTTTTTTTAATTGTATTTTTCAAATCTTTCATATATTTACTTAGGTGTTTTTTTTATCTAATTGGTTTATCATTTACTGAGAGGTGTTTTCAAATATCTTACTATGGTTTAAATTTGTCTATTTCTTCTTTATTTCGTTCTTTCATTTATACATTATGAGGCTATGTTACTATATACATATAAATTTAGATTTCTTCCTGGTTAATTAAAACTTTTATCATCATGAAGGGTTCCACCTTGTATGACATTAAGATAACTGTACCACCTTTTTATAGTATTTTTGTAACATATACTTACCCATATTTTTTCTTCATGCTTTCAGTATACTTACCTTTTAAATATGTATCTTGTAAACAGAGTGTTTTTTGAAATCCAATTGTCAATCTGTCTTTTAACATGAACATTTAGTCCATTTACATTTAATTCAATTATTTATATGCTCTACCATGTTGGTGTTTGGTTTCTATTTGTCCCAGTGTTCCCATGTCATTTTTTCTTTTTTATGGACTTTAAGAGATTAACATTATTTCATTTACCCTCTGTTATCTTGTGGCTGCACATTCTTTTACCATAGTAGTTACCCTAGAGATTACAACAAGTATTCTTATCAAATGTGTGCCAATTATCAATTTATCGCCTCTCAGTTCCAAATCCACTCTTCATTGCCGGCTATGCACAAAGAAATATTTCTCCTTTGCTGGCTTGTATGAAGTTTACCTGTCTGCAGAGGGCACTGGAGGGGTATGAAGAGAAGGAAATGATTCTTTGGCTCTCATGTCTTAGTTTTTCCAGAGTTGGGCTTCCGTGTGCGAGATGAGCAGCCGTGCCTGGCAGCTGGCACCTTCCCTGGCAACCTCTAAAGCAGCCTTACCGGAGGGCTAGGCGACTGCAAGAGACCTCCACGGACAGCTTTCCCAGCACTACTTTGCATGGCTTTGAGTGATTTTTCAAGACATTTAGCTTTTATATATTTTTTTGGAATTGGCAGATGCTTATCCATGACATAAGGAAAAATAACCTCTAGTGCCAAGATTACCTCTACGGGTTTCCTTTCTCTCCTGATTTGGTAAGAGTGGG